ATATTTTATTTATTTTTATTTGAGAGATGGAGAGAGAATGAGCTCTCATCTGCTGGTTCATTCCACAAGTGATCATAGTGACTGGGACTGAACCAGAAGCTAGAAGGAAATTCAATCCAGGCTTCTATGTCAATGGCAGGGACCCAACTGCTCTGTTGTCTGCTGCCTTTCAGGATGCACATAAAGCAGGAAACTGGAATCGGGAGCAGCGCTGGTATTTGAAATCTGCGCGCTGATTTGGGAAGCAGAACCATTAGGGCAAACACCCACACCTAAGAGGTTTTTTTGGTAAAGATTTATTGCTATTTGAAGGGCAGAGTTCAGAGAGAGATGGAGAGAAGAGAAAGAGGAGGAGAAGGAGGGAAACAGAGAGATTTCCATTTGGTGTTTTACTTTCCAAATGACTTCAACTGCCAGAGCTGGACCAGTCAGTAGCCAACAACCAGGAGCTTCATTTGGGTCTCCCACATGGGTGCAGAAGTCAAGAACTTGAACCATTCTTTACTATCTTCCCAGGCCATTAGCAAGGAGCTGAATTGGGAGTAGAGCAGCTGGGACTTAAACTGGCATTCATGTGGGATGCTGGCCCAGCAGGCAGAAAATTAGCCTACTATGTCACATGATGTCTAACACTCTCCCCACCCCTTTACCCCCAATCGATTTTAAGAATAGACCCACTAAGTCCAAACTATTAGGTCTTTTAGGAATCCTGGCACTTTTGAATCACTTTTGGGAACATTTGAGTTCTAGAGAAGGCTATTTTTGTTTGTTTTAGATTTATTTGAAAAACAACTAGACAGAGAAAGAGATGTTCCACCCACTGGATTAGCCCTTAGATGCTTGCAACAGCCAGGGCTGGGTCTAACTAAAGCCAGAAGCCATGAACTTAATCCAGGTCACTCATGTTGGTAATAGGGACTCAGCTATTTGAGTCATGCCAGGGCACACATTAGCAGAAAACTGGGATGGGGAGTGGAACTAGGACCCCAATTCAAGCATTCTGATAGAAGATGTAGGTGTCTCAAGTGGCACCTCTATTTTTTAAAAGAAAATTATTCATTTATTTAATTATTTGCATTTATTAGAAAGGCAGGTTTTACACAGAGAGAAGGAGAGACAGAGAAAGAGAGGCTCTCCATCCGCTAGTTTATTCCCCAAATTGCTGCAAGTCCAGAGCTGAGCTGATCCTAAGCTGGGAGCTAGGAACTTCCTCTGGGTTGCCCATGTGGGTGCAGGGTCCCAAGGACTTGAGCTGTCCTCCACTGCCTTCCCAGCCCACAAGCAGGGAGCTGGATTGTAAGTGGAGCAGCCAGGGCTAGAACAGGTCCCATGTGGGATGTTGGCATTACATCCTAAAAGATCAGCTTGCTATGCCACACGCCAGCCCCTCAAATATTATCTTAACAGCTAGGTGAAATGTTCTCCCCACTGAGAATTTTTACCATGAGTGAGTGTTATATTTTGCCATTTGCTTCTTAAAAAGTATGTGTTTGAAAGTCAGAGCAAGAGATAGAGAAATATGGGATGGGTGAGGGAATCTTACCTGAACTAGTTCATTCAAATGATCACAACAGCATGAATTGAGTTGTGGGCAGATGTCATAGGGGCAACTAAACAGCTGTGTCAAACATCAACAGGTCTATATTTTTTCGAGGTGAATGAGACTTAGGTTTGTTCAGGATCTGTGTGGCTCCCTCAGCAATGGGGTCATAGATGGGCAATGTAAGAATGATGATGATGCTATACTACTGAAGAGTGGGTGAGAGCTACAAGCAAGAGCATAAGAAGATGTATTTCACAGGAAAGCAATCCCCCATGTTCGGGGTGGGTGGGTGACCAAATCTGTGTGTACACATGTGTGAAAAACTGGGGATATCCCCAGCATATCAGAGTCAGGGAGTGAGGATGAAGGTAGGGGATATGAAAATACAGGATTGAAAAAAATACCCAGAGTAACTCAAATGTTGGGTTAAGGTGAAGATTGTGGCTTGTTCCCTCTTAGAGCTTCTCTGGTAGATACTTTAAGGACAAACTGATTCATAGCTGCTTTGAAGTATCATCCTTGATTGAAAGACTCTTCTAGATGGCAGCTGACACCATGACTCCTCAGGTGGAAATGAGAGACATTGATGGGATCAGGTGCACACCTGAGGCCAAAGCACATGGCCCGGATGAGAAGTTTACTCTGCTCACTGCGCTTTGCAGGAACTAAGGTGGAGCTGGTGTTCCAGAGGACAGTGTTGCCAGTCTTGCTATTGCTCCTTCTCAGCAAGGTCACTGGAAGGGCATTTAGGCATTGTCTTGTGAAGCCTGACAAAGTTCATGATATGAATTTGAATTTAAGGTGACTTTTGGCAAATATTAAAAAAAAATCTTCTGATTGCCTCTTTTTCTACTCTAGTGAATGCTAATCAGAAGTGATATTTGACTAACCTCTTGATGCATCCTACTCAAGTGTGCACAGAATTACTAAGCTGATAAATTGGGTAAAATTAATTGTTGCAGATGCTAGGTTCTCCTGAACCAGCAGAAGTCATCCTGCCAGTTCCCTGGAGTCACATGTCTAATCAGTGGAGGTCACAGATAACAAAACAGAAGTTTCCAAACACAGTGGAATTCGAGAGGATTAAATCTTTCAGCGTTGTCTTATGCAATGCAATTATTGGATAAACGAACTTATTTGTTACTTCTTTTGAACTTGGAACGCATTTTTATATTTTATATGGGCTTTGAAAAAGGGTATACTAATGTTTCTGTTCATCCTTTCCCTTTGAATTCATTGTTAGAATCTAAAATTGCTCCTTGTTCACTCTTTGACACTGTTGACCCATGCTAACCAGGCAGGCAGCTAATCCCAAGATAAATGAAGGTTTTAAGGTTCCCAAACCACTCAATTTGACACTTGTAGAATGTCACTTTTATGGTGATCTCTTTTTGGAGAAAAATAAATATGATTCTTAGAAATGTGTACCATTACTACATTATTTACACCAGTACTGAGAGTGAAATGAGCCTTTAAGAAATGCTGTATTCTGAGCAGATACCTGATTCTATAAACTGAGGGTAATTTTTCTCAGGCTCCTGATTTGGCAGTGCTTTGAAACTTGGTTTCTCATATTTGATGTCTCGATTCTCACTTTCTTTTTATAACAAATGTCCCTTTCTAAAACAAAACATGATTAACGTCTCAAATAATGTTGTTGGGTGCAGAAGCAGTCCTGAGTGAGGATCCAGAGATCAGGGCCCTCAGAGATCACTACCTGGTGGTTTCCTATGGTTTAGTGTGGCATTCAGAGGCAAACCTCTCTACCAGAGTTGAAGATTTTACTTGTAAAAAGTGTATTTTAAAAATGTAAGTAATTTGTTTCCCACTATACAAGCAAACTTTAAGATCACAGATTATGGGATCAAAACATAATGTGTGTTCTCCTGAAGTTTTGAAGACCATTTTCATATTTCCTATATTGTACGAAGTAACATATTTTGCATATTTGAAAGACCGAGTTGCAGAGAGAGGAGAGAGAGAGAGAGAGAGAGAGAGAGAGAGAAAGAAAGAGAGAGAAAGACAAAGGGAGAGCTACAGATTCCACCTGCTAGTTCATTTCCTAAATGACTGCAACAGCTGGGGTAGGCCAGGTCAAAGTAAGGAGCCAGGAGCTTCATCCAGTTCTCCCATGTGGAGAACTCCCAGAAGTACCTGGGCCATCCTCTGCTGTTTTCGCAGGCTCATTAGTTGGGAGCTGGATTGGAAGTGGAGCAACTGGAACTCAAACTGAGTGGATATATAGGATGTTGGCATTGAAGGTAGATGCTTTCCCTGCTATGTCACAGTGCCATCCCATTTTACTTTTGAAAAAACACCCTAAGTTAGTTATAATTCTAAACCAATCCTGTAATATTATGGGCTCAAAGTTTGGGCGATCTGACAATTTCTAAAAAATTAAATTAACCATACATGTAAGATATTGAAATAAATCTCTAGCTGTTGCAGTAACTTCCTTTCATTTAAAATTTATTAAAAATATGAATCTTGTTTTCAAATGCACATTTGAAACTTACTTGGAAATTAAATCAGGCTGCTTCCTCCTGTAGCCAACACCCTGTAAACTCAAAAATGTATTGTGATGCCAAAACAGTTGTTACCTGAAGTGATTGATTCCAAGGATCTCAGCCAGGGTAACCCAGAAAGTGGAGCAAGGAACTTATGCTTGAAATAGAATATAGCCCTTTTATTACTTTCTTATTACTTTATTACTTATTACTTTATTATTACTTTACTTGTTTATTTGAAAGGCAGAGAAATAGAGAGGCAGAGACAGAAAGAGGAGGAGAGACACAGAGAACAGTGAGAGAGGAAAGTAGAAGAGAGGAGAGAGGAGAGGGAGACATCCTCCTTCCATAGATGAGTTCACGCCCCAGATGGCTGCAGCATTCAGGGCTAGGCCTGGCCAAATACAGGAGCCAGGAGTTCCAGCCATCCAACCATGCCACGTGGTTATATCTTCAGCTGCCTTCCCAGGCATGTTAGCATGGACCTGCTTGGAAAATGGAGGAGCCGGAACTCCAGCCAGCACATAGATGGGGATGTAAAGGCTTAGCCCATATGCCATATTTGTCCTGCTTTCTCTCTTTTGTTCCCATATTTCACCTTCCTTTCCTTTACTGTTTCTCTTTATCTCTTTATTATATTTCTATAATTAGAATATGGAATTAGGATGTTGAAATAAGTACTTCCATTATTCTTAAAAAAAAATGAATTATGAAGGAAGAATTTCATGTCTTCTCAAAAGTGGGCCACTGTTCCTTGACATATTTTTATCCCAGTAATGGGTCCTTGGGCTAAGTATCACTGGTCATTGGTTTAGTCCTCATGCTGGTAAGTATTTTCTCAACTATTTAGATTTATATCCCTTCTTAAACCCAGCCACTGGATTTCAGTATCTATGCGCAATGATCAGACTGACCAAGCTCAGGTTTTTCCTACCCTTTGTGTGTTCCAGATACATTTCATATTGCTCTTCAGTCGACAAGGGAAGCTGCGGCTGCAGAAATGGTATACCACTCTCTCCGACAAGGAACGGAAAAAGATCACCCGGGAAATTGTTCAGATCATTCTCTCCCGTGGTCACAGGACAAGCAGTTTTGTTGACTGGAAGGAGCTGAAACTTGTGTATAAAAGGTGTGAGTAGCTTTATGAGACTTGAGCTTCTCCTGGTTACATGGGTTTGTCTTAATCTTGAACATTTTAGGTTGCCGTTGCAGCCCCCTTGTTTCCCCAGTGACTGTAACAGCAGACTGATTTACCTGTGGTCTCATCATAAAATGAACATGGGGCCTCCGTTTCTTCACTAATTGAGGTTCCTTTCCAGTATGGTCTTACTATGGCAAACAGGTACAATAGAAAGTGTAAAGGTTTTAAAATTAGAAAAGGACTCCCAGTTATGGTGAGTCTGTGATGTACAACATAGTTTTTTCCCCCTTTGCTTTATTGTAAGCACAGGATTTATCTATCACTTATTTATTTAAAGCTTTTTCACTTTTTATTATTTTGTTTATTGGAAAGGCGGATATACAGAGAGGAGAGACAGAGAGGAAGATCTTCCATCCGATGATTCACTCCCCAAGTGAGCGCAACAGCTGATACTATGCTGATCCGAAGCCAGGAGCCTCTTCCAGGTCTCCCACGTGGGTGCAGGGTCCCAAAGCTTTGGGCCGTCCTCGACTGCTTTCCCGGGCCACAGGCAGGGAGCTGGAAGGGAAGTGGGGCTGCCGGGATTAGAACGGGCGTCCATATGGGATCCTGGGTGTGCAAGGCGAGGACCTTAACCACTGCGCCACTGCGCCGGGCCCATAAAGCTTTTTCATTTTTAACAGACTCAATGTAGTTCATAGAATTCTAAGAACACATTTTTTCCTCCCCACTCCTCCCTGCTAACATGGATTCTTAAACTGTTTGTTATTACTTAACAGTACTTAAACTAGGTGTCAATAGGACACATATGAACTGTGCAGGAAATACCCATGATTGTTTTAATGGCAGAAGATAATGGCAGTGAGATCTAATATTCTCAGTGTCATGGAGTGGCTGCATTTGCTAAGTAAACAAAATGTTTTCCTTTAGTTAAAAATGCTATGGGAAAATTCAGTTTAGTGTGATCCAGAAAGGAGGGGGACTATGCGCAACAAGTCGGTCTTACAACACTTATTACTCATATCAGCAGGTGAGTAAGCTGATCACACAGTTTAAACAGTTAGTCCCCATTATTAGCAATTAGTAGGGTTGGCATTCAAACACTCTTTCCAAATTTAAGATCACGATGCTTCTTACTGCACCTACTTGCAAATGGCAAGACTATTTTAGGAAGGGATCTGAATTTTTAGATGAGGAAAGAGAACTGAGAAGTCATTTTGCTAATGCGCTCCCAAGAAATTGGGATTCAGAACACAGCCCAGTTGGCTCTGCACACAGCATCACGCTGCAGCATCCACAGGGAGGATGTGTTCTTGCAGAGTGTGTTCAATGAGAAAGACTGGACACTTAAAGTAGTAAATGGTCAAGGGTCTGGGCTGAGCTCCTTCTGCTGGGTCCAGGTGAGAGCTTGACAAGTTGAGATGGGGGACATAGACAGAATGACTGAAATAGAGTGAGCTTTGAGAGCAGTGAGGGTAGACACCTCTGGGCACTAATCAGGGGTCCGGATACTCCACAACTGGCGAATGGCAGGGTGTCTGAACAGAGACTGTGATTTCGTATTTGGGGAGGGTATTGGATATGGTGATTAATGATTTCCTTATTGGATGGATCCAGCCCTTTGGGAGAAGGGGGTGACTTGGGATATGTATTGTGCAAAATTGTCTTCTGATTGTATGATCATCATATTTTTGCTTTTATTTTTTCCTTTTAAGGTATGCTAGTTTATATTTTTGCTGTGCAGTAGAAAATCAGGACAATGAGCTCTTGACGCTAGAGGTTGTGCATCGTTATGTGGAGTTGCTCGACAAATATTTTGGAAATGTAAGTGTTCTGGTCTTTTGGAATTAGACAGTCTGCGTCTCAGCTCTTATTTCAGATCCGTCTGTCATCACATTGCTTCTATCCTTCAATTATGAAATTGAAATTGTGTCTGTACTGAGAATCACGCTATTCCACTAGGATCACGTTATGAGGCTTTCTGCCATGTCCATATATTTCAGCAAGTGGAAGACCCAACACCTTGCAAGGCAGATGTATCTTTATCTGTAGGCCATGATTAATGAGACCTGGTACTGAGCCAGCATTTCATTGTGAAGCATTTCTTGGTATTTTCCCCGCTTATTTCTCATTGTTTTTTCTTCTATCTCCTCTTCATCTTTTCTCTCTCTCTCTCTCTCTCTTTTTCTTTTTTGGATATTGGATTTTTTTTTCCACCTAAGCTATAGAGAAAAAAATGCCAAGCAAACAAAATCCTTACATCCGCTCCATACACACCGCTCTACAGTAACCATTCTGCATGAAGAGCCGCGAGTCGCACCAGTTCAGCTGCCCCATTGTGTGGAGCCCTTTTCCTCCACAGCAGGTTGCAGTGTGGCTCTCATCTGTGCAGCTCCCAGCAAGTAAGAGTCACTGTTGAATCCTTCCTATGGTCAAGACCAGGGACCCTTCTTAGGTGTCTGCTGTCTTTACATCTGCAGCCCCGGTTCCTCACTCATGGTACCACTTACTTTAAATTCGCCCTTCTTCATTTTGTCATGCCACTGATTTCTGCTGCTTCTGTCTTGTTTCTGAAGGTCCCACCTTTGGTTTCCGTTTCTCTCTCCCCTTATGTGCCCTTCTTCTTTTGCTAGTGTCCTGTGTGTCTCGTAACTCTCCCCATTCCAGGTGACTCTTTACTTGGCTGATGATGGTTTTCACTGGGCTTCTCATGGGAAAGACTGGCCTCTCCTGACGACCTGTTTTGCCCTATGGTTAGAATCTTTTTTGTTCTAGGATCCTTCAGTGCAAAAGAACAGTGTTATTTCCATCCTTCTCTACCTGTTACTAGACCCTGCTTAGCACTTTTCATTTTGGGCTAAATTTCCCTTTTTTTTTTTTTTTTTAGGATTTACCTATTTATTTTGAAAGTTAGAATCAGAATTACTGGGTCTTAAGAGCACAGACCATCCCTCCAATCTTGTTACTTTTCTTTTATTATATTCCTGACTTAGCCAGGGCTCTAGTGGGGCAGAAGAGCCTTGTGGTACGTTTGACTGGTACAAGATGTACTGAGGTATCAGATGGCCATTTTCTCAAGGTCATGACTCGAGGCTCATTGGTTTACTTACTTCCATTTGGAGCCAGTGCTTGAGCAGATTGTAGCAGATATTACAGAAAACTTTAATCTGAAGAAATGAAACATTAGATTTAGAAAATGCTTTCTATTCAGCGAATTCACTTCTATATTCCCTTGTTCACTGAAGATTCCTGTGAAGTGGTTGCCAGGAAAATCTACTGCCAAAGGGTTGTCTGTGTTCTTTAATAGAATGAACAGTGACCACCATATTAGATCTTATCAGATTTGTTACAATACATTTCATAAACATGAGCAGTTGAACGTCTTCTAAAAGAACTTCCCACTTCTTTCCTTTTGTAGGTAATGTTATAGAATCAAAGTCGCTTCAGGCATTTCAGGTTGCTGATCTATATTTTATACAGAAGTAGTAAGAAATAGACTGGTTTTTGTCTTCCTCATCTGGTTTACCAAGTTTCTTTGCATTTTGAAGAGAAATTTGCGATGTATAGCAACATGATTTCAAACACGAGATGATTTAATTTAACGCTATTATTCAAATGCATTTGGACTTTCTGGTACTTTTAATTAATTTATTTATTTTTAAATAAGCTTCACACTTGGCCTTTTGCAAGGGCCTGAAGGAGTTTTTCTGAATTTGGAACTCTCTCCTATCTTGCCTTCTACTCTTGATTTTTGAACCCTGATTTGAACTGTTATGTTTTGAAGCCAACTTTAAGGATGTGAATTGTGGCTGAATTTCTGTCTCAATGTATATGAACACATTCAGCCAGGTATTTCAGAGCAAGTTGCTTCTCAAGAGAACTTGAATGACCTTCACCCATGCTCAGCCTGAGGAGAAACAGAATGAATTCTTATTTCCCTAGCATTCATTTTCCATCCTATTCTGGCACACTGTTAGAACCTCTATCATCATCATTAACTAAAATTTAATTCACTAAGAAATGCAATGAATCTTTTATTAAGCTAAGAGCAGCTAAGAGCAGTTCAAGGCTGTATACCCAGTAGCTATTCACTTCTTATTATTTAACAGAGCTCAGCAAAGCCTTCCTTCTGATTCTCACTGACATCATCTCAAGAATAATACACTTCTCTTTGGTTTTCTTTATCTCTTGTGTTGATATTAAAGATTTTTTGGAATTCTGTCATTTTTTTCTAAAGGAAGACTTTGTGCTGGGAAAATATTTGTGTTGGGAAATATTATCTTCTAAAGACAGATAAGTCAAAATCTATGACTACTGATTTATATTATTTTTTTTAAGTACTTTTCAATTCCAAGGAGATTTACACGGATCAACTAGTTAATCTTTCAATCTTTAGGAAGTAACACTGACCCCAATTTATAGAGCCTAGGAAGAAATTCCTCAAAGTCTCACAGAAAATAAGGGTATGCTTAGGATTTAGAAATCTGCCTTATTTTCCTGAGACTGTACTCTGATTTTTGGGATTTATTTGTTGTGTGGATGCTGTTGTTCCAGTGAGTTGTGGAGCTTGATTTAGGGAATTTTTGTTGTTGTAAAAGGAAGAGGACCGTGAGTCCTGGCAGATGTTGGGGTCAACCTGCTCCCAACAGGCCCATGACTTGAAGCTTGCCCCCAACCTCTATTTTACGTATATTAAAAATGACACTCAGAAAAGGTCAATGGAAATATCTACTTTGCTAATCTCATGAGGCTTCTGGGAGAGCTAAAAAATAAAGTGAATATGAATTTTGTAAAAGCCAATCATTGCTGTGTAGTCGTGCATTGTGTTGTAATTATTCTTATTTTATTTGTGAATCTATGGTTTTTGTGTGGTTTATTTTATTTTTCCTGCATGTAATGTGAAATGCGTTGCATTTCCTTTAGAACAGAATTGAGCAGGTAGGGGCAGCTGCTTCTCAGGCTCTAGCCAGAAGGATTTAGTTGGTGAAATGCCAAAAATAATCTCACGGCACTATGCATTCTGCCAGATGAGAAGACCTACAAATCAAATTGTAACAAGGCACAAGGCTAAGAAGTTTAAGATAGAGGATTTGTGTCTGCATTTATTTCAGAATCTAGATACATGAAAAAAAGAAGTAGATTAAAAACCCAGATATTTATTATTGCGGTAATGGTGAGGAATCCATAAGTATTTACAAAATGAGATGGCTTAGCCTCCTGAGCATCAAGATAATATTTTTCCTGTATTGCCTTCAGGAAGAGTCTTTGAACTATTTGAGTATTTAGACAATAGTGAAAGAAATGTGGATTTGGGTTAAGATTCCCGAGCATGTTTTCTTAATGTCAGATGGGGTTAGATTCAAAGAATAACCATAGAGTAGCACTTTAGAGTTTTACATCATTTGTGAAGATGCAATTGCTCATTTATAACAGTCTCTACCCTACTGGCAGTGCTTGTACATCTCTGAAGTTTCTAGAGACAGCAGCTGTGCATCGTGCTGTGTGTTTGTGTGTAGCTGTCTCTGTACCACCTTACCGATTCTTATCCCTTACTGGGTGTTAAGTTCCTAGCTCCATGGCTGTGGAGGACCCTGCATGCCTGGGGATGGGTTGCTGCTCTCTGAGTGGAGCAGAAGACATTCTTAGAGAACTTGTGTGTGTGTGTCAGCTTCGCTTTGCAGGATTCTGATGGCTGGTTTGTCTTAACAAGCCTCCTGTCTGTCTTGGATTCCCGGTGTGCGTCTGCCTTGACCTCTGATGTTCCAGGACTTTTGATACTCTAACTCCTGCCTTCTGCCACTTCTGAGCTCTGGTAACTGCTTATTTCTCCTAATTTCTTTAATGTGTATGAATGTCTGATTAACTGATTTCTTTTAAGTATGTAAAATCGTAAAACAGTGCATCACGCTCAGGTATCTTTCTAAACTTTTTTTTTTTAAATGGGACTGTACTATACATAATATTTTGCAACTTTTCTTCTTTATAAGTCGATCTTGAATCTCTTCCCATATCTGTCTGTATATATCTGCTTCATGTGTCTAAACTCTACACAGAATTCACATTCCTTAGTGGGAATATACAAAATCTAATTTAAACAATTCCCTTACTGGATGAACGCTGGGTTATATCCAATTGTTATAAGTGATGTCGTAACTTTAGTTGTTTATATATGTTTTTAAGTTCTAGTTCGAACACAATATGGAAATAAATTCCTCATGGACCTGTACATTCAAAATTGATAGATACTACACAATTGAACCCTCAGTAGTCTGTAAAATTTAGAACTTTTGCTAACAGTGAGTTTGAATACCTATTTGCCCAAATCATCACCAATATGATTTGCTCAAATCATCAGCAATGTTCTATATATTGGATATTAGCTCTTAATTTTCAGATGCACATCAACTTAGCTTGCATATCTGTAATTACTGGTAAGGTTGTACATTGTACAAGAGAACTACTGGACATTTCCATGTCTTGTGTTGTCTATGAATTGTTTCTTAACAGCCTTTCCTTTGTTTTGGTAATGTTTATCTCAAGGTTTTCAAGAATTCTTTTATGGATTCTATTCCCTTTCCATCTTTAAAGACTCTGCATATAAAAGAGTACAAATCGCATGGCAAGTAGGGTTAAAAGTGAGTTTATTCTGATTCAGAAAGTTTTGGAGTTCCTGTATATTTTTTCATGATGTATACTTTTCCATAACCGAAGAACGTATTGTGCCCAGCCTAGGCTGTAATTGTCAATGTCCAGCCCAAACTGTGCTCTGCTTCACCACGTTCTTACCTTGGGGAGCTCTGTTCCATGATCTTCCAGTTTCCTGGAATGAGAAATAAATGGCACAATTCATATGCAAGTGTAATTCCTTTCCTGAAAGCTTGTTCCTATGAGTGAAACCTACTGGTTCTGGGAAGTCCTAGGTTGTTTTTGTGTCCCAGTTAATGCTTTAAAAATTAAAATCTTTTTAAATTTGTAAACTGGTCACACACATATGTGTATGCATGCCTGTATGTACAGCCAGGTATGTATATACACATATATGTGCACACAAACCCATACATATGTGCAGATGCTTTAGGGAGAGGATTTATATGTGAGTGTATATGTATGCTTATTGTTGATTTAATGCTGTTTTCTAGCCAATGAAAAGCTTATAACCCTTGCAGTTGAGTTACATGCTTTCTGAACTGGCTATTTATTACATTTCTGTTACATTCACTTGTTGTATGTTTCTTCATTCAATCAAACCATGTTCCTTGTGGAATCTGCAAGTTTATTGGCCTAAATCCTAAATCAGTGCAGCCATTTTAAGGATATTGGCAACTATTTTATGTAAAGTGATAGCATTCAGTAGAACTGGGGATACCTGGGAAGCTGTTAATGCTTAGTGTGTTCAGAAATGAGACCTGAAGCACTGAAGACAAGGCCCTACCCTGTACTCACAATATGGGGAATGGGGCTGTGATGAGTGACCAGTAAGTGCGCATATCCTAATAGAAGATGCAAGTGCGAATCTAGTGCAAATGATAAGTCTGAATGGGGAACAGTCTGGTCAGTTGCTCTGCCCTTGACTTGAATTTGGCCTTGAAACTTACGCATTCATTCGGCCAGTAGAAGAGGAGGAACATTCTAGGAATTTCTGGAATGTGTAAAAGGTGAAGAAGGCATGTAAGAGCACAGAAAGATCATGGCGTGTGTGGCTATAGCATGGGGTGAGCACTGACCAAGAACCAGAGAGCAGGGCCCTGATTAGTTGTGAAGATTTCTGTATTCCTTGCTAAGGAATTAAAGTTTTTCCTGAACAGGAGAGGAAGAAGGTAAGCATTTTAGCAAAGTGTACGTGGTCAACGACCTTAAGTAGACACAAACCTCAGGCCAAAGGTCATTGTCATGGCCTAAAGAGAGCTGTTGCAGGGCCTGACCAGGGACTTATAAACCAAGAAGGGGAAAAGATTAGGGATTTAGAGGAATGCATGTGTAGAATTGGTGAGACCAAGGGCGAGTAGAATGGGGTGAGGAGTGAATTGAACTTTAGAATGTACTATTGAGCAATTAGATTTTCCAGAGTTGGGCATATGATGCAGGAGTTTAAGCTTTCACTCCTTACTGGAAGGCTGGTTCAAGTCTTAACTACTCCACTTTTAATCCTGCTCACTGCTAATGTGCCTGGGAAGCAGCAGATTATGTCTGAAGTTCTTAAATTCTTGATACCCACTTGGGAGAGCCACCAGAATGGAGCACCTGGCTCCTAGATTGAACCTGACCCAATCCCAGCTTTTGCAGCTATTTGGGAGAGTCATCAGAAGAATTCTCCCAACTCTTTCTGTCTTTCAATTAAGTATGGCTTCATCTACTAAACAAAATAAGAACCAAAGGGAAAAGAATGAGCTTGTTAGGAGTTTGGGGCATGGTGACATGAGGACCCTCCCAAATGAGATGTTTAGTTAGCAAAAGAAAATACTGATTTAGTGCCCCAATGGGTAATCAGGGCTGGACATGGAGTTTTGTTGAGCACCCTGGATTCTAGACACAGTTGTAGAAAGCCACTTGAACTATCAGGTGGACATGCGTATCACAAAGAGGAGAGCCTCTTTTGGGGGGCACCAATGACTAAGGAGAAGATGAGTCACTAGAATGTAATGAGATGTTTGTTCTGCTGAGTGATGCATCATGAGCACTCTGTAAGTCACTGTGGAGCCAATGCAAGATGGTAGAGAGCTAATTGGCAAGGGAGTTACAGGAGGAACTGCCAGATGTTGGGAGGAGAACAGGTGTTACATAGCATTACTGTAGCCAGAGGATCAAGAGGAAGGTACTTTCCATAGGCCAGACACTGGTGAAGAGTTAGCAAGTGCTGCTAACAGCAAATGTGGGGCAGGATTTGGAACCTTTAGTGGGCAGCTTCTTTTGGCTGATAGGGTCTGGAAGGTTTGGTCTGCAAAGGAAAGTCAGGGAGCAGGAGTTGAGGAGTAAACAGATAGAGGAAGGATAGTGCTTGGCAACTGTCTGGAAGGGTAATGAATTACAGGCAGTGGTCCAGGCACATGCTCACTTGAGCCCCAGACTCTGTCAGGGAGTGGTTCTGAATGTAACATCCCAGGTGCCTTAGTAAATCAGAAGCAGGGGCCGGGCCAGCAAGGTGTTTTATTGAGCCTCTGGGTGAGCCTGACTCATCTAGACTCTAAGGCTCAAGAACCTCTGGCCTGTGACATAATTCTGAGACTAAGCCGAGTTGAGCCAGTTTTCTCTTGAGTGATTTGCTAAGGGAGTCTTCATGGGTGGATCCAAGATTTACATCCCAGAGAGCAGAGAATCTGAGTTCCTCACTCACAGCTGAAAGCCAGCTGGCTCTCAGCTCTGTGTAGGCAGAAGTAAAGGCTGAGTGGCCTTGTTCCTCCACTGAGGGCTGGGGGTCTTATTGCAATATACAACATCACTATATATTCATGCATTGTATAGAGAATTACATATATTTTAGTGTTTTAAAAACCTTATCTATTTATTTGAAAGGTGGAGTTAGAGGGAGATGACAGAGGCAGGGAGGAAGAGAAAGAGAGATATTCCAATTTTAGTATATGTGCTGCCGAAGTGAGCACAGAGAGAGATCTTTATGCCCCAAATGGCTAAAATGGTGAGCCACACCATGGCACTGGTCCACCAAGATTGATTTTGTTTTATTTGAAATGTATAGTGGCAGAAAGAGAGAGAGGGAGAGCGCGTTACAACGGCATCCTCTGCATCAGGCTGCAGCCAGGGATCCAGAACACCACGTAGGTCTTCTACTTGCATGACAAGGGTCGAGCGTAGGTCTTCCACTTGCATGACAAGGGTCCAGCGTTTGGGCTGTCTTTTTGTTTTCTCCCAAGACATTTTTAAAGAACATGGAGAAGCTGGAACAAGAACTTGTAGTCTGGTGGCTGGTATGGGATGCCTGCCTGCATTACAAGCCAGTGTAACCTGGTATGTCATAATGCTGGCCCCCATCAGATATTTTGGTCTTTTATGTGGCGTATGGATGTAAACCTGTGAAACTCGAAATCCTGCAAAATGTTTCTTCAGATGTAAGTTTCTCAAAATGTTTATTTTTGTCCTACCAGGTCTGTGAGCTGGATATCATCTTTAATTTTGAGAAGGCGTATTTCATCCTTGATGAGTTTATCATAGGTGGAGAAGTGCAGGAGACATCCAAGAAAGTTGTTGTCAAAGCCATTGAAGACTCTGACATGTTACAGGAGGTTAGTACAGTTTCCACACATGTCAAGGGGGAATGTGCTCATGATGGTATAACTACCCCATTTTACAGATAAGTCAACTAGACTTTGAGAGGTTAAATGACGTGTTATTCAATGGCACACAACTAGCAAGTGTGGAATGGGGACTGGGACAGAGGAAGCTGGCTTCTAGAGTCTGAATGTTTGGGTGAGATTTTTACTGTGAGGCTATGTCCCTGTCAAGAAGAGATCAACTGCCGGTGCTATTGTTTTTAAGAATAACTTGATGAGATATATAAACAGACTTTCATTAAAATGTCTGTGTTCTGCTAGGAAAGGAGATGAGCAGTACACAATGACTTTATTTGCCAGCAATATTAGAGCTTTATTATTGAAGATGGCATTTATCATTTTAATGAAAATTTCTTGTGCCCCTGGGTAAGGTTGTATGCATGTTCCTGTTTGTATAAATAAAGTGGCTTGCTTGCAGAGGTTTTAAAAAAAAAAAAAAAAAGAACGAGTCCCGAACCATCTGTTTTGTACAGCTCCTGACTCTCTGTGGTACTTATTTAAAAACAAAACAAAACAAACAAAACCACAAGACTTTGAGAAAGCAGCCCAGGTTTGCACCACGCCTGATCAGGGCTTAGCTACGTTTTCTCCTCTGTCTACCCACAGACACTGTGAAAGAGCATGAGTGCTAACCCCTGACCTTTACCATTCCAAATAAAAGTGATCCATCCAGCTCCAGTGCGCGCTCTCTCTCTCTCTGTCTTGGGTTTGGCTTGTTCTATCACTTCTTGTTACTTCTTTCCATCCCCTAACTGAGCCTTTCCACCCTCCTATCTTGGAGCATCAGTTCAGAAGAATCCAGACCGTGATAAAGTCCTATTCTGAAGTTACAGTCACTCTGCATGCTCTTTGAAAACAAGAGGCCAAGTTCGGGCAAGTTCGAGGTCTGATTCCTCAGTAACTGCTTTGGCACATCTTGGAGCTGCTGACTTGCTCTCACCCATCAAGAGGAGTGGTCCTCACGTGGCTGGTCCTGGAGACTCTGTGGGAGCAGGAGTGATAGACAGTAGCTCCTTGTGCCCACTAGGAGGCCAGTGCATTTAATCATTCATTCCCTGAGATGTTCTCACTTCAACAAACGCATTTAAACTTTCTCTGAGTTACTTGGCTCTCTCCAAATGCCACCGGAAGGGGATTTTACAAGGTACTCGAGAAAACAGTGGTTTGGAAATTCCACAGAACAGCATTTCTTAAAATATACCAGGATGGAGAGGTAGGCAGTAGAGGATGGAGATTATAATTTGATCCTCAGGATCCTTAATGTGGAAACTCCGTGGAGGAGAAGCAGACTTTTAACAGTCTGTGACACCTTAATAATTAAAGCTCCCTGAATCGGGGCAAACACACACGTAAGTCTGCTGCTTTTAGTTGTGTTTAAATCCAGGAAGCAGGTGATTCAAGAGTGAACTCCTTCATACTTCACACCAGTTGGTAGTTTATTTCACTGGTGACTGAAGGGAAGGTCTCAAGGGGCCCAACATTTAGCCTTTTGTTCCTGGTAGAGAGCAGGCAATGTCAGGGTTGCCCTCCCCTGTTGAATTAACATTTGCCAGTTAGAGAATAAACATTTTCTATCAGGATATTTTGAGCCGTAGAACTCTCATTGGAAAAGTCAATGAACATTTGGGGAAATGTATTTAAAAAAAAACTGACCTTGTGTATCTTGTCTGCTTCAGATTAGTCGGAGTGGACAGGTGAAAATAATGTAACTGCACAAAACAAAAGAATTACTGCCCTTTCCTTCCTGTATGTGGATCTAAATGCTGTCGTGACTCATTTTGACATTTTTTAACTTTTAGAACAATTGTAAACTTTAAAGTAGCCTTTGGGGCTTTCTCCAACCCCTAACTAAATAAAATTTCTTAGAATATTAAGAAATATGGGGACCAACATTGTGGTACAGTGAGCTAATCCATCACCTGCGAGGCTATCAATCCATTTGGCGAGTCAGTTTGAGTTCTAGCTGCTGTACTTCTGATCCAGTTCCCTGTTGGTATATATGGGGAAGCAGTGGCTGATGGCCCAAGTTGTGGGGCCTACCACCCTGGTAGGAGATCAGGGTGCAGTCCCTGGCTCCTGGCTTTAGTCTAGTCCACCTCTGCTATTGGAGCCACTTAGGAAGTGAGCCAGCAGATGGAAGATCTCTTTCTCTGTCTGTTCCCCATGACCCCCACCATCACTCTGCCTTTCAAGTTAATACAAATAAATATTAAATTTAAAAAATATTAAAACAATTTTTAAAGCTATCCTCACTAATTTAGTATGATGACACATACTGTCACATCTCCAGATAATCAAAGCGTATTCTAGAGCTAGCTTTTGAACATAGGAAAATGAAAGCATGGTTTGGTTGGTTGAGGGTGACCTGTTTGGTGTTTTTGTAGAGAGAATATAGGAAGTCCATCCATCTTGTGTGCTACTCAAGTTTAATTCTGCTGACATTTATGAGGCCGTTCAAGTATGTTTTAACAAGTGCTGGAAAAAAAAAATCTGGCTTTGGAGTATGTTAACAAACTTGGTAATTAATGAAGAGGCTGAGGAAATGTAATTGTAAATTGAACCCTTCTTGGGACAAGAGCCTTTTCAAAAATCATGGAAGGGGATTTCAACATTACGGTGTGTATCTTTTAATCTACCTGAGAGCTGTTGGTTGGAGCTTTCTCTTCCTAGACATATGTTTTGTGATCAAGTCCAGCTTTTCCTTAATAGATAGTTCTGTAGTTCCAGCTGTATGGTTGAGTATACAAATTATGTTAAGCTTTGAACCCTCGTTCCCAATGAACATGTAAGAGTTGATGTCCATTTATACATTTGAAAGTTTCTTATAAAGTGTTAAAAGTTAAAAGACTGAACAAAATATTGCAGTTTGCTAAAGGATGTGGTTTAAAAAGAAGACTGTTCTAATTTGCTGTTCTCTTTCAGACCATGGAAGAATACATGAACAAGCCAACATTTTAACTGCATGGTTACTGGAAGGTTTGGAGTGCTACATCTTGTGAACTTCCTGAAGAAACACCTTTTATCCAGTCTTTTCACAGAGCCCATGGCAGCATGCCAAATGCATAACTTGAAGGGATTCTTATTAACCAGCAAAATCTTGAAGTTGTCATTCATAATATACTTACAATACTGTAAGTCTGTATTATATTATATGTGAGTACTTTGGTTCTGGATGTTTAACTGTCATGTAACCTAATGGACTGCACCATTTTAACTCCATGTGCTGTTTGTCAGATAATTTTGGGAAATGATTGCAATCTGTTCTGGTGCCTCTCATCCTCATCTGACAGGTTGCAAAGCATGTGGTTATAATCCATGACTTTGAATGTGAAATTCATCTTATATCACTAATGTTTCCAAATGTTTAGTTTTTAAAATTGTATACTCATTCAAATCTATGTTAATAGGTTGGAGCTCACACATAATGTTAGAGAATTTTATAACTGTTAATGATACTCTGATTCCAGTCCAGATACAATGTATCTGTGTATAATATCCTGGAATTCACTTTTTTTTTTTTTTTTTTTACAATTGAAACTAAGGAAAAAACCAAAATAGTATAGAACTTAATGTTTCTGAGCAGTTAGGGGCTACAATCTAGCAGAGATTTTATTTTAGCTTTTTACTGAATATTAAGGATATTTTAATATGGTTACATTTTCTACAAGCTATATATTTATTAAGGCTTTAAGACATACAGTGTCTATGACATCCCTTATTATATAAAATAGTATGATAAGGATGAATGACATAACAATAATTATTATTGCTACCACTATTTTTAAAGATCCCCAGGCAATTTTAGTTGCTTGAGGGATTTTATTGCAAATATGTTGTCATATATGTTCAATGTATCTGAAGATGATTTTTTTAAAGCATTGACTATTCCTGCAATTGTGTGGTTGCTGCCTTGCCCTTTTGATAACTGCCTTCCTGCTCCCTGTCTTAAAGAAAATATTTGCTGCTGACCATTACTGCTGTGAATATGTCACATTTGTGCTTCCCGGAATGACAATTCTGTGTAAGTGGATACTGAATGTGATCAGACATATCATGGAGAAATTGCTTGTGCTGCTCCATGTGCCTCTTTTCAATGTAAATGTTAAGGTCAAGTATCATTTATCTTGGAGTGGGAAGGGACCCTCTGACATCCTCTGGCACTTTATAAAAAGGAGAGTGTGCTAGCTCTTGAATACTGTAGCAGATCCCATGTGTATACCTATGAAAAAGTGATGGTAAAAGGTTCATTTCAGCAGACATAGGTGGGGGAAAATGACCGAACGACAACAGAGCAGAGGAGAAGATCAGCCAATTTCTCAAAGTTATCATTTTTCAAAGAAAGTAATTCTAATCAGTAGATGGAGTAACCAGTGGATTTTTGACATGTATATTTTCCAGAAATTAATGATATAATTTACAATCATGGAAGAAGGCTGAAGTTTAATTTTGATTGACTTGGTTTTGTGATTACCTTTTTTGTATTTAAAAAAGTTTTTTTTTTTTTTTTTTAAGATGATAGAACTTTTCAAGACAGCTTGTAAAGGTTACTTCATGTAAATCCACTGCAAGTTTTCTGTTTCTTTCACGTTTTCTGCCATTTTGAATAAAAGTATATATTGAGCCTCATTCAAACGTACTGTGCGTATGGTGGATGATTTCATATTGGACCCTACTAACTACGCACAGGGATTCTCCAAATTCTTCATGTCAGTGTCTTATATAGGAGAGCATTGCGCCTGTGTGGAATACTGGGGTAAAGTCAGGGGACTTGGGGACATGTTACATAGGCCTTGATGAAAATAATCATTTTCATATTATGTAATTATAAAAAAGTACCACATAAAAAGAAAATAAATGAAAATTTGTGTAAATTTCCACATGCTTTAAGCGAGGCACTTGAGTGTGTTTTCATGAGCATAGTTTTTTTTGAATCAGACTTTATGCTTAAAGTTGATGCCCGTAATTCCCGTGAAGTCCCTTTGATGTAAGCTCTTCCCTGTCTTGACACTTACCAAGGAAAATCTTCAGACACAGGTGAAAAGGAATCCAAGATGATCTGTTTGTGATCTCACCATTTTCCAGACTGAAACTATTTCCATGTCTTTAAATGTCATGTATTAACCTATTCACGATATTATTCAAAGGTGGCATTCCTTCTCTCCTCCGGAAAATAGTGAGTTTCTAGTCAGACAGTTGAGTGGTCCTGCAGTTGTGCGGGCTTCTGCTGCTGTTGCTGTGATTTCATCACCAGCTTTAAGAGGACATTCTTATTATATAATTGCAAATGTCAAAAATCTTAGCTGCAGAATCGGTGTTTAATGGAAATATGCTGATGTGAGTTATTCAACTATTGTCATACTTGGTAACATGTAGCGATAGATAGGCATTTTTGGCTGATAGCTTACTTCCAAATATTTTGCTGGAAGGATCTGTTGAATTTGCAGAGTTCATTATTAATATTTTCCAGTCTTTTAATATTTTCCAGGCATTTTTACTCAGAAATTAATTTAAACATAATTTGAGGTGTATTTGCATTGTTTAGAATGTTATAATTAAATTGAAAACGTAAAGTGCAATAAAATATAATTTTGAAGATAAATACAATTAAAATTTGAAGCATTGAAATATTAATATGAATTAGGCAAAATGAACCCTTGAAAAGTCTTAAAATATAAATACTAATTTTACTTATGTAAGATTAAATAGATTTTCTAGGACACTGTCTCTTGTAATGAATTAATTTAATCAAATTATGGTTTTTCTGTTCTTTTATCGAACATCTTCTTTTTTGTGAAAACAGTTTTGATGAAATTTTATCCAAAATTTGACTAAGTGTGATATTAAAATCTGAAGCTGAAATGATGACTAAAAGAATGAATCAGGAAAATGAATAAAATCAATTACAAGCTCTATTTAGTGCATCTAGTTTCGCCAATACTAATAATCAAGAAATTAAAACATAAGTGCACAGATTAAACTGAATTCAATTGAAATCTAAATCTTTTACATACTTAGAGCTCCAGGAACAGTAAATTATAAGGTAAAAATTGGACTGGCTGATCATTTTAGAGTTTCATGGGAAGACACTTTTATTATTCTACCTGTTTCTGGCATTGCAGTCCATATTCAAAATCCTTTGAGCCAAAGTACGTAGTTACTGAACTTAGGAATTTCTCGGAGACAGCCATTTAAATACTTTGCAAATATAATTTCACTTTTGTGAACTTTTTGAATCAGTGGGAAATGATTCAAATGGCTTAATTTTAACAACTTGCGTGTTTGATGTTTAGTCATCGATCTCAAAGCATACAAAAGAACCACAGTGTACTGGTTGAGATGTTTTGAGCTACAAGCCCAAGGATCTTTTTTGTGTTCAGTAAACGTGTCAAAATGGACTGGGAGTTGCGGCCTTCAAGCTGGCCCCAGTTGCCACAGACAAGGCTACGGACTTTCTCTCCTGGGAATGAAAGGAACGTCTGAGTCAGATGGGCCCGGGGAGACGAGCACTCATTATACAGAAGAGGGAAGAAATCGGTACATTTATGCTTTGATCAGGTCCCTGTGCTAATCATTTGCTTAATTAAACCTTATTTTGATCAAAGCTGTTACCTATAAAAGTACTTGATGAATGTGTTTTCCTGGTATGTAATACCAGCTGATGACATTCAAGCATGGTTTTCAGCCTTTTAAATGATAGCAGTTAAGCATATTGAGTGCACTTTATATGAAAGGTGCCGTTATAGAAACAGATGAAGAGCCACTCCTGGAATACAGATGAAAGGTGAATAACAACAGTATGTTACTGAGGGTTGAAGGTGAGATTTCTTCCATGTTTTCGGGGGAAGAGAGAACAGAGAAAGAATGCATGTTTTGCTGGTGTTGAATAATTCTTGCTGAAAGCATTTGAATTTTGTGACAACTTCAAACGTGTCTTTCAACCTTGCTTGTACTTAAGTGTGAAATAAGACTTCACATTCAGTCCTGAGATGAGGAAGCTGGTATTGGATGAAACCGAACACCGCTAGAAAAAGAAGGAGCCGACCTGCCTCTATCAGAGTCACAGCCATTCTGCTTCCAGTTGTGCTTCCAGCAAGCGCACTTGACAAGGCGGTGGAAGATGGCCCAAGCACTTGAGCCAGCTGCCACCCACATGGGAGACCTTGATGAAGTCCTGACACTTGGCTCAACCCTGGCTGTTGTGGCCATCTGGGGAGTGAACCAGTGAGTGGAAGCTCTCTTTATCTCCCTCTATCTCTGCCTCTCAGATAAACACATGCATCTTACAAAAATACAAATCAGATTTCAGATTTCCAGATGTGCTTCATTTCCTGTACAGTTTTCTGCTTCCTCTTAGGTATACATCTGGTCTTTGGTTCCCAGTCCCCTCCTGAAGTTCAGTTTATTAGTATTGGAGTTATGGCCAATGGAACAGGGTCAAAATAACCCTGCTGTTGGTTTTCTTTATAAAATTCTCTCATATGTGACTCTCACTTCTCTGCCTGTCCCTGTCTAGGTGAAGAAGACCAGAATACAGAGAAAGGGAGAGCCATAAAATGGAAGGAACCTAAGAAACGCTATCATGAAAGACAGATAACCAAAAAGCCTAGATTGCTATATGGGACAGACACAAGCATCAGTTGTGCTCAGCTGCTAAATTCACAAGATTGGTTGCTCCAGGACTGAGCCATTCTGTTGCAGGAAATAATTGTGGGCTGCCGTCAGCAGGATCAGGATCTGTGAAATCAAGGTTATTCTTCTGATAATGGTGAACTATAGCCCGCTTTAGAGCTCAAACAAGTGGCTAATTATCTAGGAGTGGGTATATATAATAGGCCTGATTGGGAGAGGAGTCTTATTGAGAAGTGGGCACTAGAATGTTCAAGTGGAAAGATGATCACGTTGCCACCCGCATCTCATGTCATTTTTGTAGAGGCCCAAGTTAGGCCTTGTAGGCTACCTCAGTCTGTCTACAAGATGTTTGATTTCATATAAAAATTAAGTTTCTTTCTTGTATTCAGAACATTATCCTGACTGGCAGCATTGGATGTGCATCTCTGCATGACGAGAGTTACCTGGGGCTGGAGGGCCTGTGCTGCTGTTGTCTGAATCGCGTAAAACTGCATTTCCTTATTGCTGATTTTACGCTGCCCTGTGCCCAGCCCTGTCCTGTTGGCAGTGCGCTGTGGGACTCTCCGAATCTGGACTTTTCTGCTGCATACTTGCCCACCTTCACAGACCTTCCAGATTCGCTCCTTCTTGGCTGTGGCTAGCTCTTTTTCTTTTTATCCGAAATATTATTTCCTCTGTCCTCTATACACCAATGGAAATACAGTTCTTTTTTCATGAACTTTTTTCTTGTTCTGTTCTTCGTCTATTCACTGAAATCCTATAGCGTGTGTGTGTGTGTGTGTGTATGAGAAAGAGATAGAGAGAAACTTCAGCTGTTTTGAATCTCTTGTGTTACTCTGTCTTGCAGGTCGTGATGCAGTTGTGAATAATTACCAGATAAAATCTGAGACCCATCCCTTTAAAAACCTGTCCTTTCCTCAACATTCCCAGACGAGATCGGGCGCGTTCAGGGTGGTATGGCCATAGACTCCTCAACATTCCCAGATTGGAATGTTTCTGAATTACATGAGACCAGCATTTGTTTCCAGAGAATATCATCAGAGTATTTTTTGATGCTCAAGAGTGTTTGTACTGCCTCTTATATTGTCTTCAATGACACCTTGGATTGTCAGAATGATGTTATCATCATCTATTTTTATTTCTTACTCATTTCAAAGGCATATAATTATAGAAAGGAAGAAGGGGAGAAAGAGAAAACGGAACAGGCAAAGCAGTTCCCTTGGCTTTAGACAGCTAATGCTGGGGAAGTCTCTCCTTACCTCTTCTCCAACTTGCTCACTCTCGCTCTCTCTCTTTGTCTCTCTCTCTCTCTCTCTTTTTCCCTTTCCTCTTCACCTAGACACACACATCCATATAGGTCTAACTTCCGTGTTTCCCAGAGGAGCCCAATCCACTAAGGTTGGTGGGCAAGCTGCTCAGACAGAATTAGTGCACTACATCTTCCCGTCTGGGGAGTGCCTGTCACCAATGACCTGGTAACTCTTGGTCATTATCATGGATCAATGTCAGTTTCTCTTAAACCACCCTTCCCCTCTTTAAAATGATGGTTTTTACTGAGTACTTCATGTGGAATAATATGATGAATCCTATACAAGGCTATATCAAAATACTCATAGAAAATGATGTTAAGAGATAATTTTATTCTGGGGCAAAATTCTGAAATCCATGCATATGAGTGATATCCAGGAAGCTAGTAGAAAAACATGTATTGTGCAAAATTTTACGTGAATTTCATTTTTTAGCACTAATATAAATATATTTTAATTTTATTCTTTTAAAAAATATTTATTTACTTGAAAGAATTGTAGAGAAAGAGGGAGAGACAGAGATCTTCCATGCACTGACTCATTTTACAGATGGCTA